CATCCTTTATTCCCTATCTCTCCACCCCACCTCAAGTGCAGTACCTGCTAATATACATTATTAGTATCTGTGTATCTGTCTCTTCTCTCTGTTTCTGCTTTAGTACAGGCCTCACCATCCTTTGCCAAGATTACTACCTCTGTATCAATCTTCCCACCTTCAATCTCACTTTTTCCAACCCCTTCTTTACCACTAGAGTGATAATTTGTACTCAAATTTGATCATGTTATTCCTTTAATAACAACCTTTAATTCATTCCAAATGTGCCCTTTTGTTTCTTTCTCCATGCCCTTTGTCTGGAATTTTTGCCCTTGCTTCATCTTGTTGGTCTGCCAAGTTTTAGTCCTCTGCCAAGTTTTAGAGCCAGTTCAGCAATGCCTCTTTTGGGAAGCCTTCCCTAACCACTTGGTGAGAGCCCTTCTCATTTACCCTTGGCATCACTGGACCTGGTTCTCACTCCTCTCCCAGTGCTCACTACATTCCCTCAATGTGTTCTAGATTGCGTACCTCAGGAGCAAGATTCTGTGCTATTGAGCTCAGTATAACAACTATCGAGAGTAGATTCTTACTGTTCTTTGGATGAAGAGATTGACCTGGTAAGGGGCTGAGAGCCTGAGCAAACCTGATCTGTTTGCAACAAAGGAAGATACATAAGGGAGTTCTCTTCCCAGGAGCCCCACAAATACTGCTGGGTCATGAGCAACATGGAACAACTAGGAGAATCCACCATTAAACTGAAGTCATCTGACTGTAAGAACAACTTAAAAGTGCCTAAACTGTAGAATACATGTGGGTCAATTTTTAACAGTGGTTATTTTTTGTCTGTATTATCCTCTCTCTGCCACTTGGAGAAGCCACTGTGGCCTACTCACTGAATTAACAACCTGACCATCCCTGTCCCTCTATAGCAGAAGGCAGTAGCAGTCTGAAACCCCTTTCTAGGTTCCAGTAGTCAAAGGGCTGGACCTCAGCATTCCTCATCTTCTCTCAAAGTGTCAGTCTTCTTCAAGAAAACCCTCCATTAATCTTCACTATTTTCTGACATATATCTAAAAACCTTCCTATTACCATTTGATCCCATTCTTCTCCTGACTATCTACTGCAAAGATCTAACTTGTTTCTGTAACCTTGAAGCTCTGGGAACTGAGTAGATACATAGCAAATACTCATGAATTAAACAATTAGTTAACAGATAATCTAGTTACAGTGAGGCTAGACTAGCATTTCTCTCAGGCATTCAGAGACCTTGTCTGTTGCCTTATGCCATTCTTTAAGTATCTTTGGCCTATGAGAACACTGGAGGCAGGTCATTGCCTGACACAATTAAGTGCTTAAAAGCTCCACTGGTTTTTCTGGCAGCAAATCTTTCTTCCCAACTGCAGCCAAAGACACAGATTGTGCAGCTGCACCAACCTGCTCAGCAGACAAGAGGGCCAGAGAGCCTCCGCCTGCTACTCATACAAACAGTAGCCCAAACTCAACCCAATTGCTCAACAGAAGCCTTGAGCAGCTGGGAGTTTCCCTCAATCAATAAGTTATAAGGCTCAGACACAGAACTGACATACAAAGTAGGCCATTCCAAAGTTTCTTGGGGAGCATCAGTGCTCAGACACATTCAAGATTGTCTAAGAGGCAGACAGCAAGAGTGGAGCCCAGGGAATAGGTTGCTAAGAGGAGCACTCATTTTTTTAAATAAGAAGACAGGAAAAGAACCAGGGGAATTCAGGGGTAGGTCCAGGCTTGGTTCAGCTGCTGAGATGCAGCCAGGCCAATTAAATAAATGGTGTGATAGGAAAGGATGGAAGCCACTCCTCTGAGGCAAACACCCAGCCCAGACAGGAGGCTCCATACAGCTGTGGCAACAGCAGCAGCAACAACAGGGCAGGGATCTCTTTCTCTTCCTCCCACTAGCTGAGAGCTAATGCTTAAATTAGTACCTTGGAAACACCCAGTTCTGCTGGCTGTGCCTTCTCACTCAGCTCCTGCCACTCCCCCAGGCCTCCTTTCCAAGCTGAGTTTCTCTTTCAAGTAAGAAAAAAAAAAAAGGATCCTCCCCTCTGCAGCTCATCTTTCCAAGTAAGGAATGCTCTCTGGATTCTTCCCACCACTGTGGGGGGGGGGAGGGCAATTTGATGATTGTGCCCAAGTTACTGACCTCTATCCACCCACCTGGGTACTGAAAGGGGTAATGGTTCCGTTTCTCTCAGAGCTTGAGGAAGTAGCCCCCCGTTCTCCCCTCAGGGCAGCTCAGGAAAAAAGTAAGAGAAACTTTGACTAACTCTGAGCTCCAGGAGGCCAGGCCCATGTCTGTGTCTGTATTGCTAACCACTGTATCTCTAATATTTAGTGTATGTAGTATTCTGAAGAGAGTGGATGCTCAATAATAATTTGGTAAGTCAATTTGCTGAATCAACAGTATCAGGCTCTATGTAATTCTTTGGAAGAGAGAGTAAGAAGCTATTGTTTAAATTTTAAATGGACAATTTGTCTTCATTTCATAAATGGAAAAGCAGTCTAGGGAAGAAAAGAGATTTCCTAGAGGTCTTTATAGATAATGTCAAAAAGCAAAATAAAATAAAATAGATTATAGCATAGTTCAAGCCTGGACCTCTAGGTTTTGTGGTCTGCCCAAATACCCCAAAAGATCCATTCTGCCCTTTGCCTCTATAGTATAATAGTATATGTCTTGATCCTTATGCCCCAAATGAAAGCTCCTGGGGTTCTGCTGATCTTAACAATACAGGGCATTTGAAGAGTTTGGGGATGTCTCTAGACTACAGTTTGGAGACAGAAGTCAAGAAGTGGGGCAATGTCTATGGCCCTCAAATAAAGATTGACTATATTACTATTTCCACAAAACTCACTCAACTTCAACAAAGTATTATTTTGCAGACAAAGGCTACATTAGCCTTTAAGAAAAGGGTCTAAACCAAATGCAGTGGCACACACCTGTAATCCCAGCTACTCTGGAGGATGGGGTAGAAAGGCTGCAAGTTTAAAGCCAGCAATTTAGCAAGATCCTGTCTCAAAATAAAATAAAAAGGGCTGGGATGTAGCTCAGTGGTTCAGCACTTGGCTAGCTAACAAGATACGAACAAGTATCTCCTGGCTACAAATAATTTTGCTACTTCAGGGTCACACAGACCAGAAGCAGCTCAGAAGTCTTCTACCCAGACAAATTGCTACTAAGAACTTCAGGCAATACCACAGGCACCAAGGACAATGGAGAGATCCTGGTGGCCCCATTCCTCCTTCCTTTTCCTTGGACAGATATTACCTCCCTACTCAGAAACCCCAGATAGGAGACAAGATCCAACTCATTGCTTCCTTCTCCTGATTTACTTGAATCCTTTTACTCACCCTCCATTTTGGTTCTTGATTAGAAGCTTAGAACTGGACAATCTATTTTGACAGGCAAGATTAGCTGGATAGAGAATCTATTAAGAAAAGTTGTCTTAACCCAGCCCAAAGTCCTTCAAGTTCATGGAACAAACTTTTCTCCAAGATTATCTGGTTCCCAAGTAATCCAGTGGTGGCATCAGGTGAGGAAAAAGTCCTACTTCTAGAACTGAAGAGTCACAAAAAGGGAAAAAAAGCCACCTCCAAATGGTGGTCACTAATGATTCTACCATCCCCCAAAAGGTGTGGTGTATCTATAGTTGTGGGTCCCTGCAAAGGCTCATCTTGGCTACTGCAATGGGCAAGTTACTTGCCTAAGAAAGCCACAAAGCACTGGGTCAGCCAGGGGGCTGCCCACCCAAAGGGAGAACATGTTCCTGGCCACCCTGCCTAAAATACAGAGGGAGGAGTCTTTGAGTGCTCCAGACTGCAGGACTTGGAGAGCTCAGCTCCAGCACAAATCGAAAAATACAGTATCCACACCTTCAGATTCGTGGCCTGCCCTACCTCCTACCAGCTCCTGCTAGCTCGGGCTGTAAGTGAAGAGGAGGTACATGGGATGAGCACAGCCAGAGCGTTCTCTCCCTATGCCCTCTCTAGGCCAGCTGGTTAGGCCTTAGCACTTCCCACCCAACTGCCAGGCAGACAAACCAGTCAGGTAGCCCCCACCCACTCACCTCCCTAGCCAGCGGGCACCGTCTCCTTTAGGCCTGGCCTCCATAAACCCGCGTCACCCTCCCCCTTCCATCCCCTAGGCGCCAGCAGCGATGACATCATTCCTCCCTGACTCGGGGATTGTGGACAGGCGGCAGGATCGGCACGGAGCAGACTCCAAGTATATAGGCCTAGGATGACAGGGGCTCTTCTGGAACGGTGGGCACAGGCCGCCCCAGCGCAGCCCCACCTCCTCTCCGGTCCGTACCCGAGCGCTCTCATCTCCACCCTTGACTCTCCATCTCACTGCCGCACACTTTCCTTCCCGGTTCAGATGCCCTCATCCTGGCCTGCCCGCGCTCCCCTTCGAAGAACGGAATTCCAAGGTCCTACACTGACCGTTGAATTCCATCGGTCCCTGGCCCTTCTCGGTGTTCCTATCCTCATTTAAAGGACTGGCGGGCAGGCTCCTCCTCTTCTAAAAGCCTATTCCCAGTCCCTCTTAACCTGAAGGCTCCCCCCGCCCCTCCCCCACTCTAAGCATCACAGGCCTCTGGGGCTAAACGCCTCCCCTCTTCCCATCCCAGCCCTCTGTGCCTGCAGCCCGCGGCGCCTCATGACAGTTTCTTTTGCCATCTTCCTCTAACGGCCTTCACTAGCGATGTGCACGATTGTGCCGCTCTCCGTTCCATCCTACGGCGTTCGGCCTCCGCTGACGGCGCCCTCTGCCCTTCTGGGTCCCTTTATTTGCACCCTGCGCATTCTCCCACGTTTTTTTCGTCCTGCAAGTTCCCCTTCACCGGTCACGCGTTTTCAGGGCTGCTCCCAATCCGAAGGCGCCCCTTCGGCACCCCTTCGCACGATCCCCACGGCCTGATTCCCTCCTTCCTTCCCCTTCAGGAGGCTCCCCTTCCCGGTCTCGGCCTGCCCTCCGCCCGCCCCCTCACCAGCGGCTGCATCTCCGAGTGAGCGGTGGGCACCTGGAACCGGTCGATCTCCTCCATCATGGTGCCGGCGAGCGAGCGGGCCAGGGGCCAGGCGCGGCCGGAGACGCCGACAGGACCGCGCGGGGCCCCAAGAACCCGGCGGGTGGTGCAGACTAGGCCGCCCCAGACGAATCGGGCGGACAGGAAGCGAGGCGGATGGACCAGAGGGCTGGGGGCAAGAGATTCGCGGTCGGGCTAAGGCCGGCGTGGCTTCGTGGGCTTGCCTAGCGCCACCGCGGCTGAGGCCCGGCCGAGCTGCAGGTCTTGCCTCGCCTCCTCCTCCGCCGCCACCTCCTGTCAGCAGCTCAGCCACTGCGGTGACTAGGCAACTCCACTTCCGGGTCCGGGACACCGCCCGTATACTGCATTATTCATGAAGAGGCGGTATCCGGGTGCCCCAGTCCCGCCCACAGGCAGGAGCTCCGGAGGCGCGCGGTGGCCAGGCGCCTACTCCTGAGGGGGCGGGGCTTAATGGAGCAGGCGGAGCTCCTTGCGCTCAGACCCGCCTTCTCTCCTGGCCGCGAGGGCTGGTGATCGCGGCGCCTGCGCCTTGAGTTTCTGTCAGTTGCTGGGTAACGGCGTCAGGGAGGAGTTCAGTCTATCCTACAAGGGCGAAGGGACCCACAACGACAGCAGTCCCCAGAGAACCCCTGCGACTGGGAATTGAAGTGGAAGTGAGTCTGGATTTCCTGTGTGTAGTCAAGGAGACGAGCAAACTTCTTGTCCTCAGACGAGAGAGCGTTTCATAGACTTGCTGGGGTTTGAGGTGCTTCCTGCTTCTGCGGAGATGCCTCTGAAAGCGCCTCGTAAGCAGGTAACGCCTAGCCTGACCTCCTGTCTTCTGTTGACTTCTCCCGCTAATCCTTGATCTTTCTTTCCCTGTGTTTTGTTTTGTTTTTGCGGTACTGGAAATTGAACCGGAGGCCTTCGCCACGAGCTACATCCCCAGTTCTCCTTAAATTTTGAGAAAGGGTCCCTCCAAGTCACTAAGTTACCCAGGCTAGGCTCGAACTTGGATCCTATGCCTGTATTACAGGTGTGTGCTAGTGTCCGGCCTTTGCCCTGTTGACCCCTAACTTCTCACCATGTCCCTTGGCCTGTGCTTCTCCAAACTCTGGCTCTCACTAGCTCTTTCACTAATCCTTTCCTCCTCTTGCATACTACCCCTAACCCAGTGTTTTTTACTTTACTTTCCCCTCACCATTTTCCTACAGACCCATCTTGACAAATCCATGCTCCTTAACACTCCTATTCCCACTTCCACTAGTTCTTTCTTCATTGCCTTCTTCGCGTTCTGTCCCAAAGGAATTATTTCTCCAGCCCTCTACTGTCTGCCCAGCTCTAGACTAAGTGGGGACACAGGGCTTGCCACTTGGGAGCCAACAGAGCGGGGACAAGAGAACTGTATAGGGGAGAGAATAGATTATGTGCAGGAGTTTGGTTTGGATTTTTTTCTGGGAGACTCGTAGGGAAAGAGAGGTCAAGTAGAGAAGAACAGAGAGACCATTTTCCCAGCCCTACCCCACACCCTTCACACACATCTTCCCTGTGAACCTCTGGTTCACTCCTGTGACTCATTCAATTCTATGAACATTATGTCCTTGTTGCCGCCTGGCCAGACATCATCCCTTCTCACAGGAAACCCAAATGTTACCTACCCCCTGCTGACCCACTGAGTGCAGAGTTCCGCTTTCCTCCCCAGCATCACCATGGAAGACAAGGTAGTTCCAGCTTCTTGAGGAGCTCTCTGTGGTAATAAAGAATGTCCTTCAGAAATCCTTTTTCTAAATCCTTTGTTATTTGCTGGGGATGGTGGGACATGATTGTAATCCTAGCACATGGGATGCTAAGGCAGGAGGACTGCTGTGAGTTCAAGGCCAGCCTGAACTATGTAGCAAGATCTTGTCTCAAAAACAACAACAAAATCCTTTATGATTTATCACTACGGAGCTAATGTCAAGTTCTGTAAAGCAGAACCTGTATTTATTTATTCTAAATTTTCCACATTGATGCCTGGGTATATTAAGGTTAGGAGATCATATCTATATCCATGCTATTTATGCCTTCATCTATGTTGGTCTGGCCTCTGCCATATTAATTGGCTCCTCTGCTTCTTTTACCTGGCCTTCTGTAGTAAATGAACCTCTTTCTTAAATTTCTGCAGCCATGGGGAGGCAACTTCCCATATGGCCATGCCCTAGTTTTATGGTAAGATTAAACCATTTTGAAGCTTGTGTACTGTTTGGACTGAACCTTAATATATAGACAAGTTTTTTGTTTGTTTGTTTGTTTGTTTGTTTGTTTTACAGTACTGAGAATTTAACCCAAGCACTGCTTAGCCCTTATTAATTTTTTAAAATTCTGAGACAGGGTCTTACAAAGTTGCCCAGACTGGTCTTGAACTTGCAATCCTCCTGCCTCAGCCTTTGGAGTTGTTGAGGTTACAGGCATATATCACCATGCACTACTAGGCAGTTCATTTTCTTAATTTGACATTATTGAAATCTATATACATACAATAAAATGGACCATTTTAGTTGTCCATGTTTCAAGTTTTTGACAAAGTTACACACTTGTGAACCACCACACAATCAAGATATAGACTGCTTCTATTCCAAGAAATTCCCTGGGCCTCAACCCAGTCAGTTTTCCTTACCCTTCAGGCCTGGGTAACCATTGATCAGCTTTCTCTTACCATAGATTAACATTTTCTAGCATCTTGAAGTTTGAACAAGCTTGAGGATGAGTTTCTCCAGGCCATTAGGGGAGACATTAGAGACTGCTTACACTGAGAGGGTTGACAACAGACAGGAAGGAGAAAAACCTAGGTCAATGGATCCTGCACATATCAACACTGTGCTCTAGAGGGAAGGGTTACTTTAGTACAATGTAAGTATTGATGTGTAGGGTGTAAGAATAGGCTAGGTTGTATTTATCACCATCTTATCTCAGTAAAGCCCAATCTGAGTCAGTGTTAAGGGGGTGTGGTATGATGTAGGGATGTTTAAGAAGTTGTCAGTGTCCCCTGGGAACTCAGTGCAATGGGGAGACAGAACACAGGCATACAAACATAAGGAAAATGGGTCCCCTGGGGCTGAACAGCAGGAAGTTCTGTGGGTTGGAGCAGCAGAAAGGTTTCAGGGGCACCCGGGATTTAGCTCACAGGATTGGGTTTGTTAGGAGACAAAGAGGGGTTAAAATTTTACTTGTTTATATTATTCCACGGATCAGATCTTTCAGAGGCCCCTATTGCTCTCAGGATAAAGTTCCAAAAGTCCAGTTTGCTTGATATGGCCTACAAGGTCCTGCATTATCTAGCCATTGCTATTCATCAGACCTCACCACTACTCTATGAAAATTCCACAATCCCTGTACATCGAACCGCACTCACTTTCTGCGAAGTGATATCCATACCCTCTCCTTCAGGCCTTTGAAACTGCTGTTATCCTGCCACCTGGTACAATATTTTCGATCTGCTGGTATCTGGTTTACCCTACTCTACAAATCTCCCCTTCATCTCTTGTTCATTCTTAAGGTCTCAGTTTGGTTTTCATTCTCCTACAAGAGATTAAGTCCATTTTCTGGAGGCAGGTTGGAGTAATATCCCCATGACACTATAAACTCTGTCATGGCAAGGATCAGATCTGTCTTCTGGTTCTTTGTTGATTCCCCTATACCTGGCACAGTGTCTGGGATGTATAAATTCTGAGAAAGTGAGTTGAATATGAATTCTGCGTGCCTGGGCTATTCTTCAGAAATTTTCATCTGCATGTGTTTGAAGGACAGGGAAGGAGTGACCCTGGGATGGGGAGTGATAATAAAGGGGTACCTAGTGGGAAGAGATAACAAGAAAAATGCACTATGTTACCCTATTTTTTTTCTGGGCTCTTGGTTATATCTGCTTTGGCTATATCTGCTTAGGGCTATGAAGGATTCAGAGTTGAACTACATACATCGGTGACTAAAAGCTGGGGGTTGGACACCAAAAGGTTAAAAAATACTCATGATGTAGGGCTGGGGATTTAGCTCAGTTGCGCTGTGCCTGGCTCACAAGTGCAAGGTCCTGTGTTTGACCCCCGGTACCGCACACAAACACACACACAAAAAACTTATGATGTACATATTCATTCTCATTCAGTAATTATTTATGGGGTACCTCCTCTGGTCCAAGTATTGGTGATATAGCAAGAAACAAAGCAAATAAAAATCCCTACTCTCATGGAGCTTGACTTTTAGTTGGAGGTAAATAGTCAATAAATAAGTAAAATATATTATATATCAGATGATGAAAGATGTCAAGGAGAAAAATGAATCAGATAAGTGTAGTAAGAAATTCAGGGAAACAGAAGATTATCATTTAAATAAGGTGGTCAGAAAAGACCTCACAGAGATGTCATTTGAGCCAAGACCTGAAGGAAATGAGAGTTAGGTATGTGATCTCTGGTGTAGGGGAAGGGAGCATTCCGGGCAGATGGCATGAGATGTGTAAAGTTCCTGAGGTGGGAGCCTGCTACACATGTTCTAGATCAGCAGAGAAGGGAGGGGAAAAGTGGCAGGAAATAAGGTCAGAGAGGTACATCCCTTATTCCACTAAGTTAATCAAATAACCCATGGCATATTAAATTGGTCATGATGGAGCTTCATGAATTATAATTTGTAGTTAAAATGCATAAATGTCAGGCACCATAAACCATGACCAGCTCAAAACATTATTGGTAATGGCCCAGTAACAAAGTGTCCTTCCTGAAAATTGTGAGAATGCCAACTGGCTGCATGTGTACATATGCAAGAGGAGTTTTGCAGCATTGCCAAGCATTGCCTGGCAGCCAGACTTTTTAGTAGAGAACCGAATTAGAGTCTTCTGTGAACTCCAGTTTACAGCTAATTTTAGTTTATGACTAACAAATTTTAGTACCTGTTTACAACTCAGTTGGTTACCATTAAAAAAATCAATGTCTGGAATTTTGCATCATTTGCCCATTAAAGCCAAAGAAAAGACTGGCATTTGGATCATTTTGTGGTTTCTCAAGAGGCTCCTCTAGGACATACTTTTAGAAATAGTGATCTACATCAGTGATGGCAAATCTTTTAGCTCTTTCAATGATACGAACAGCCGGCTGTGGCATGTGTGCTATAAGTTTACCACCACTGATCTAGATAAAGGGTACTAATGTAGAGGTGAGGGGCAGGATTAGGTACAAGGCCAAAGAGAGTCTTGGTTAATTCAGAAAATTTGAGTCATATGAGACCCATAGATGAAGGGACAGGAGATAAGCAGCATCTAAGAGAAGCTGATATGTTTTTGTATATCCAAAGTAAGATATCCTCACTTTTGTGATCCTTTATCTCAGTGTCATCCTTATACTTACCTTCTTTGTGCCCCAGGTAGGATCTTTCTCACCCTCAGCTCCCAAATATTTCTCAGATTAAGCCCTTGCCACCTTCCTAACCCAACCCGCCATCCTCTCTCACCCAGAGAATAATAAAACTGGTCTTCCCCTCATCTATTCATGCCCTTTTCAATCCATCTTTACACTGCATCAAGAATGATCTTTTCAGGAGGCTGGGGATTTAGCTCAGTGGCACTGTGCCTGCCTCACAGCGCAAGATCATGCGTTCAATACCTGGTACCAAAAAAAAAAGATCTTTTCTGTCACTCTGATGATGCCATCCCCCCTTTAGAACGCTTCAATGACTTCTCATTGCTCTTAAGAGAGGGTCTAATTTTTAAGATAACCTTTGGACACTTCTACGGGCTGAGGGCTGCCTGGGTCTCTTATTTTGTGCCACCTTTTACCCATGATTCCTATCCTTCAGTTGTATGTGCTGTCCCTGTTTCTGGAATTCTTCACACCCTCTCCCACACGTGTATTCACTCCTAAGATTTCAGCCCAAATACCAAACACCACAACTGGCTCCAATGTCTCCTGCCTTGTTATTGAAAATAAGTTGAGTTTCCTCTATTATATAGTCTCATTGCTCTATGCTCCTTTCTTCCATAGCATGCATCATGATTTGTAATTATTTACTTATCTGTGTAATTATTTGATTATTGCCTCTTTCATTAGATTGTGAGCATCACGAAAGCAGAGCCCATGGATGTTTTCCTTATGTTGTATTCTCAGCTCCTAATACAGTAACCATTATGTCAGAAGCTCTCAAAAGATGATTGATTGTTGAATGAATGTGGTGGGGGAAGTAGCATAGGGTGCTGGTGTGGAAGCATGTGGTAGGGTATCCTAACATGGATTCTGGGCAAATCAGAGAAGACTTCTGGGAGGAATTCCAGCACTTAAGATTGGTGGACTAGGGATTTAGCTCAGTGGCACCGCACCTGCCTCACAAGCACAAGGTCCTGAGTTCAATCCCTGGTACAAAAAAAAAGATTGGGACAGAAGAAGAAAAAGAATCCAAAATAGAGACTAGGAAGAAGTAAACAGAAAAGTAGGAAAGATAACAAAGAAAAATCAAAGCAAGAGTGGCTGGTCAGCCATGTAGCATGCTGCTAAGGCGTCAGTGAAGATAAGCACTAAGACAGGCCACTAGGTGTAAAAATTAGGAAGCCATTAGGGCCCTTAGAAAGAACAACTTTGGAGGTGAAAACTAGACTGATGAGCTAAGAAGGCAGTGAGGACCATATAGGCAAGGGTCTTTTTAAAGATGAAAGTAAGACTTGAATGTATTAAATGCTGTGGGGAAGGATCTGGATGAAGAGAGAAATTGAAAATAAAGGAGAAAATTAAGTAATGATTAGAGCTAAGACTCTAAGGAGGTGGGAATGGATCAGTTGTGGACAGGAAGTACACTTTGAAATAGGAGAGGAGAAAGAATGGATGCAGATGATAATTTTGAGGTTTAGTGGCAGAAAGTTGAGAGAGTTTTCGCTTCTCTTTCCCTAGTAGTGTTATGGAATTCCTTCTGGAAGTGATAACTAGAAAACAAATTTTGCCAATGGCTGTTCCATTTTGTTATGATTACAGTCATGCTATTTTCAGAGTTATGGTCTGAGGTTTGTCATGCACAATTATCAGATTACAAAACAGCTGTGAGCATTTGAGGCCAGAACTTGGTCTCCTCCCCCATGCACTGTGGAGTCTAGCACATTGTTAGTACTTGGTACATGCTAAGTACTTGAATAATAATGGCAGAGGGCTCTTGTGCTTATCGCTAGGCTTTGCAGCCTGAAAGCTGATGCTAAAGAGTAATTTTGATTTTCTGGTTCCAGCTGTGAGCAAGACACATGAAATTGTTTTCTGCCAGATAGGAATTTGTATGGCATGTTCAGTATTCCCAGTTACTGAGCACTGACAGAGTTGCATAGAAGAAGCACACAAAGGATACAACTGTTGATCAAACTTTAGTTTCACTGCTTTGAGTGTCACAACATTTTGGAGTCACTGGATTCTAGTTTGTATGATGAGCTTGTGTTCTTCATTTATCATGTTCCCAGTTTGAGAACCCTGGGAGTGGGGACAAATTCAGCTTTATTTCTTTAGCTGTCATCCATCCTAGGACTTGCTTAGTAAACACTGGATGAATGTTTAATGACTGGGTGAATTAGTTGTTAGTGACTAAATGAACAGTAGAAAGGTATGTACTGCAGAACTCTGAATCTTCTCTCTGGGCCTGCAAAAGAAGCAGTGCAAGCTTCTTTTGTCTTAGTAAAAGCAGCCTAATTCTGTTTATCATGTAGTACCCCTATCCTTGGTGTTAAGCTTATTTTGCTGTTTTAACCTACATCTATTTTATCTTTTACTTATTATTTCAAAGTGTCGTGTATTCAGCCTCAAATTTTGTTTGGGGAAAAATTGGAGTATAAATGTATAAAATAATCTGCTGATCCTTGGATAGACAAGTATGTGTGTGTTTCTGTGTCTGTGTTAATAATTTTGTTTTCTTTACCCAGAATGTCCAAGTCTTCTCTACTCTTCCAGTCCTTTAAGGTCCAGATATTCCTCGATTTACAATAGCACTACATTCAGATACACCCATTATCAGTGAAAAATATCGTAAGTCAAAAATACATTAAATACACATTACCTACCAAACATCACAGCTTAGCAACACAGCATGTTACAGAATATCAGTTGTTTACCTTCAAGATCAGTTTTATCTCACCGCCACTGCCCCCATTTTGAGAGAATATCTGTACCACAAAATTGCTAGCCTAGGAAAAAATCAAAATTCAAGCTATGGTTTCTACTGAATCCATATCACTTTCACACCATCATAAACTAAAAAAAAATCATGTTGACACATCAAATTTTAGATAAGCTCTTTAAGTTGCAAAGAACAGAGGCTTATTCAAGTAATCTAAATAAAGGAGCATGGGAGAAGAAAGGTGTTTATGTGGAGGTTTGTAGATGGGTTTTATAAATACATAGATGGCCCAAAATTTGTTTTCTTTATTTTTGGCTTGCCTTTTGTTTGTTTGTTTGTTTTTTGAGACAAGGGCTTGCTACATAGTTCAAGCTGGCCTTGAACTCAACTGTAGTCCAGGCTGGCTTCCAACTCATGGCGATCCTCCTGCCTCAGCCTCCCGAATGCTGGTGTGCACCACCACACCTGACTTAAAATTGAATTTCGAGGGCCGAGGGCCTTAGCTCAGTGGTGCCGCCCCCTGCCTCTCAAGTGCAAGGTCCCGAGTTCAATCCCCGCTACCAAAAAAACCCCCAAAACCTGGATTTGGAAAGCTATACATTCTGAAACAGGTAGAGGGACTAATAAAATACTGAATCTCCCATGGCCTTTCTACTTCTCTTAGTGACTATGTTACTTTCCCTATTCTCATTTCATAACCAGCCAGTTTTTTTGTTTGCTTGTTTTGGTACCTGGGATCGAACTCAGGACCTTGCACTTTTGAGGCTGGGGCTGGAACTACTGAGCTAAATCCCTGGCCCAGCCAGCCAGTTTTTCCATAGTCTCTTCTCCCTTATAACTTTAGTTTTCAGCTTATCATGGCTTCTGTGGCCTCTCTCTACACCATAAGCATTTCCATCTATATCTTCATCCAACTACCAGTTCTCTCTGTAGTCCTGGTTCAAATTCATTAAGAAGAAATCTGTTTGGCCCTAGCTATCTCCTCTGTTCATGCCAGGCTGTCAGCAAGGAGCAAGATTCTAGGATTCTCTAAGCAGCCAAACCTGTGAGCAGGGCAGTTTCCTTTAGAAAAAAATATTCTATTTCCTTGGCTACTCCAGTGTAAAATATAACTTGCTTTACTATAAAGTAACTTCTGTGTTGTTTCTGGTAAATCTCTTTCTCATGAATTGTGTGGGAAGGGGCCCTCAGATTTCTTCTAGTCCAATGCCTTCATTCAGGGCTGATATTTACATTACAAAAGGTTCTGTCCTTTATAAAACCCTTTACTGTAAGACTGTAAAAATAGCATGTTTCTGCAATGAATTTTAAAATACAGCACACTTTATATATAACTCTTAAAGATACTGATATAGGAGACTTTTATTCTGGCTAAGGTGAAGCAATTAATATTGACCTTGCTCTTCCACTGTAAACAGTGATGCAGGTGGACAGAATATGATGCAATTATTTTTAGGCATTGAACAACACACAACATAGGAAGATTCCTGATGGGAGAAAAAATGTACAACATTAGTCACACATTTACTCTTGCTCCCTGCTTAGGGACAATTTCTTGATCATGCTGGGGAAATAGATCCATAGGAGAGAATGATACTACCAGTAAGATAACCCAGATACTAGAAAGAACAGGCAACGACTTTAAAGCTGCTATAAAAAAATATAGACTTACAGAAAATATTGTCTTAGTGGATAGATATATGGATGTTATGGTTTATATCTAGATATCCCTCTAAAGCCTTATGGAATTATAGGCAGGACCATTGGAAGGTGATGGGATTATAAGAGCATTATAGCTGATGGCTATTAGGAGGTGAGGCCTGGTGGGAAGAAGTGGATCATTGTGGGTGTGACTTAGAAGATTATATCTTCCTTCCTGGCTCCTCTCTTGCTCTCTGCTTCCTGTCCACCATGCTGTGAGCAGGTCTCCTCTGTCATGCCATCCTGCCTTGGAGCCAGCCACCTGTGTATTGAAACTTCTACAAACTATGACCCAAAACTTTTCCTCCTTTAAATTATGGGTGTTGGGCTTTGGGTCTCAGCAACAAGAGTGACTAAAACAATGCAGAATCTAAGCAGACATATAAAAGCAATAGAAATATACAATATCAGAAATAAAAAATTATTTTGATAGTCCTAATTGTTGAATGTGAATGTAGATCCATGGAAATTATCCGATTTAAAGAACAAAAATGGGCAAGTTTTTTTTTTCTTTATAAAGGAGCTATAGTGACCTGTGGAATATATCGTGTATGTACTTGGAACATGTATATAATTGGAATACCAAAAGGGAAGAGAGGAAGAGGAGAAAATATTTGAAGAAAAAGTGGTCAAAATTTTTCCAAACTTAGTGGAAAACAGAATTATCAGCAGCTTGGTGAGCCGCGAGCAGGATAATTACAAATAAAACCATGTCTAGGACATTTACAGTCAAACTAGTGAAAAACAAACATAAACATAAAATCTTTGGAAGTAGTTAGAGAAAAATGACATATTGCATACAGGGAACAGTAATATAAATTATAGCTGACTTCTCATCATAAACAATGGAGGTCAGAAGACAATGAGATTACATATTTAGAAATTGAAAGAAATTACTGTCAACCCAGAATTCTATATCCAACCCCTTATCAAAATCTTCAAAAAGGAGGGTGAGGACTGGGGATTTAGCTCAGTGGCACCACACCTGCCTCACAAGCACAAGGTCCTGAGTTCGATCCCTGGTACCAAAAAAAAAAAAAGAGGGTGAAATAAACGCATTTTCAGATAAACCAAAGCTGAGAGAATTAATCATCATCATACATCAGGACCAAGAAATATTGGTAATGGTAAATATGTGGGTAAAGATTTTTTTCTCCTGTTAATTTTCTTAAAAGATATATTCTTAAAGAATACATTTCTACTGTTTAATGCAAAAAATGTCATTGCTAATTGGGTCATGTAATGTAGAAATAAGATACATGAAAACAATAGGACAAAGGATGGGTAGTGTGTGTAAATGGAGTTGTAATCATAAAAGGTGAAGTGTGAAGGTGTTTGCTATTTATTCTTAATAGACAAAGGTAAATTTAAGATGCATAGTGTAAACTGTAGAGCAGCCATACAAACACACACACACACACACACATTCACATGCACAGACACACACACAAAATACAAAAAGGCCAATAGAGAAAATAAAATTACTTTAAAAATTAAACTAATACAAAATAATACAGGAGATGAAAAAAGCAAATAAGAAAAAATAGAAAACAAAGAGCAGCATGTTAAAGGCAGCCACTTTCATTCATGAGGCTGACTATAAGGCTAGGAGAAAAAAAACCCCAGCAAAACCCAACAATGATGACTACAAGAGACATTGTTTAAATATAAAGACACAGAAAAACTGAAAATAAAAGAGGAAAAAATATACCATGTGAATGGCAAAAGTAAGTGGCTATCATTATCAGACAAAGTAGGGTTCATAATAGGAGTATTTCAAGATAAATAGAAACATTTTATAATGATAAAAGGTCAATTCAAGGTGGAGAGACAAAAGTTACAGTGTATGCTCCTATTAATAGAACTTCAAGATGTATGAATTAAAAACTGACAAAATGAAAAGGGGAAATAAAAATATCCACAGTGATAGAGATTGTTAACATTTCTCTCTCAGTAATTGAGAGATACAGAGAATCTGAACAATATTGTCAACCAACATGACCTAATTAACATTTATAGGATGTTACATTCAAGAACTACAAAATGAAAACTACACCCAGGAACTGCAGAATTTTTGCAACTTTCAACCAAATGCTAGGATATAAAATACATTTCAAAAGATCAACTCTTACAGATTTTAATTGAATCCAAATTCAACAACCATCAGTGGCAAAATAATACTAGAAATAGTAAAATAGAATTGAACAAAATAAAATTAAGCAATATCTTTAAAATCTCCACATGTTTAGAAACTAGGATGTTCTGAAGATTAAACCAGGCTTCTATGTATGTTAGGCAAGAACTCCATCACTGAGCTATATTCCCAGCCCTTTTTAAATTTTGTTTGAGGCCAAGTCTCACTAAGTTACACAGGCTGGCTTTGAACTTGCAACCCTCCTGCCTCAATCTCCCCAGTAGCTGGAGTTATAGGTGTGAGTCATGAAAACTGGCTTAAAGAATACATTTCTAATTGACCCATGGGTCAAATCACAAAGGAAATTTAAAAGTATTTAATTGAATAGTAATGAAAATATATCAAAAATTGTGGAGGCTGCTAAATTGATGCTTAGTGGAAATGTAGAACTTTAAATACTATATTAGAAAAGAAAAAAGTTATAAGATCAATGTCCTAAGATTCAACTCTAAGAATACACAAAGGAATAAGATAAATCTAACCTAGTAGAAGCAAGATCAAGATAAAAAGAAAGCATAATAGCCAATATCTGGATTGAAAATCACTAAAGAGCCTATTAGAAGTAATAATATTAGAAATATTAGAGAGAATATTAGAAAGAATAATAGAGTACTGTTATCAACAATCTAGTGTCAATAAGTTCATCAACTTAGATGGAATGGACAAATTTCTTGAAAAACACCATTTACCTCAACTGACAAGAAGAAATGGAAAATGCTCCATACCTGTTAGAAATTCTTCCACAAAGGAACTCCAGGTGCAAATGGTTTCACTGATGAATTGTATCAAATATGTAAGGAATAAATAATACTGATCTTGCCAGGTGTAGTGGTGCATGCCTGTAATCCAGCTACTTGAAAGGCTGAGGCAGGAGGATAGCAAGTTTGAGGCCAGCCTGGGCAACATAGCAACACTCTGTCTCCAAAAACCAACCAAACAAACAAAACATCAATGTTACATAACATCTGTGAGAAAATAGAGGATAAGGAAACAGTATTCCAACTTATTTTATGT